TTTTTGGAAAATTGAATTGTTGTGTACGACGAGGGTCGGAGTGCAACGACAATCAGAATGACAATGGAGAAGACTGAGGGCCCGAAAGCTAGGCTCATCCAAAAGCTGAAAACGGAAGAAAGTGATTTAGCAATAAATGATGAAACGTTTGAAAAACAGCAAATATACAACAGTTGGCTCAGTGGTTAAAGCGCAGATTTACTGACCGGAAGGTCCTCAGTTTGTACCGGACTCATGCATCTCAACTTCTCCGGTCTAGGCTTGGACAACCTGACGGTTTTCCAACCTCCGTGCTTCCTTCAGCTTGGCATCGAAAGGCTGCTTCAGCCGAACGATGAAATTTTCACGCCTAGCTGAGAGCTCAAATATGGTCGTAGTTGTTTGTGATTGGAATGTACAGTTAGCACACCTAGCCCATCTGAGACTTTAGTGTGTGGTCGGTTTGGATTGAACTCAGTGCTTACGGGTAGTTGCGAACCAGTGTTTCAGCTGTGTGCCAACCGCAGACTGTTTTTATGCAGCATCGACTTCCTCAAATAACTTTAATCGTCTGGCCACATGGTGACACCCCAGCCACGGACCCAAATGGATTACATTGTCCTCAATTACCGATGGCACGGGTTATTAGCTAACTACCGCTCATTTTGAAGCACTTGTGTGATTCTGACCACGCACTGCCATATTCTGGGTTTATCATTTCTTCAAAAACGACAGTAACTGTCTCCTTTGCATATCAGATTCTGAAAAACTTGAGCTTTTGGGATTGAGTAGATCCACACCTTCATTTGAAGCATAACGTTCACGAATTTCGGCGGGTATCCATTCAAGTGAAATATCCCGTTCAGTGCTGGGAGTTTTGCCTGTGGTACGGCGCCACCAAGCACACTCGAGCACTGGATATCAGACATGACAGCGGCACTTAAATCTCGGAGAATTATCCTCGCTAGTTCCGGGTACAATCCGGCCCGACGAATTATCAAAGTCAATTGAAAGTTAGTGTGCGAGTCCACCGTGAAGCATAGTGGGCGTGTAAGGCTGGGAAAATAAAGGTGACCCAGAAAGCCGGGATTGCCCGAAAATAATTTCAGTTGATCCTTGCGACCGGACCCTGGAAAGTGAGTGAGACCATCAGGGGTCAAGGTGGTGTGACCATCTCGAATAAAGAACGCCTCGACTGCTGGGCCGAATATTCGGAACAACAATTTTCGTGGTCACCCGCCGCCACTCCTTTGGATTTTACAGCTGAAGTAGAACCCTGGATGGTGAACCTGCGACCCGCTACGGCCTCGGTGGTTTATGACTGCACATGTTCTCTCAAGCGCCACCCAGCTCCTGGTCCGGATGAACACCCACTCGTACTGTACGAAGATGTGGGCCAAGGCTTCATTCTCTGCTTGTCTGATATGTTTGCCCGTGTTTGGATAAAGCAGACTGCCCAGGACAACTGGGGAGGGTCGGTGATAGTGCCTATCACCAAAAATGGGCTCGTCAGGATGTGGTACTCACAGGGGGATCAGCTCGAACGCGGCCATAACAAGATTATTGGCGTCCTTGCTCCTTCATCAACTTATGTTGGCTCGTGAAACACTGACGTCAGAGCAGCAGGTGGGATTCCGCACTGGTAGGAACTGCTTGGGGTGGGGGCGAGATGGCTCAGTGGTTAGTGCACGACTTTTCTGACCGGAAGGTCCGTGGTTCGAACCCGACTTCTGCACCACAACTTCTATCTACGCTTGGTCAACCTGTCAGTATCCCAGCCCTCGTGCTTCCTTTTGGTGGCATGGAAGTTAGGGGCCGAAAGGATGCTACAGCTGAATGATTTCTTTGTCGGAAACAGCCATGCCCTATATCAACTGATACGACCGACTGGCTCTGGGAAAATAACAGTCAGTGAAACCCTAGCCGAAATTGCTGCTCATTAATTCACTCGCAAAAACGCCGACTTTAAATATGGACTGAACACTTCGTAGAACACTTTAGCTGTCCCCCCCTACAGCACAGCCTTTAGAAGTAGTGTATAGGGACGAATGGAGTGTAAACCTAACTGTCCCGTCAGAAGAATTGCAGTACAAAATATTCCTGCTGAAAAATGAGAAGGCACCAGGACCTGATGGTTTGTATCCAGGCCTCTTCAAAGAAGGCGGAGAGCCCCTGGTGACTCAGGTAACAAAGCTTATAGGTGCGATATGGAACGAAGAGAAAGTTCCGTAGAATGGGATATGTCGAAATTTATTCCTATCTTCAAAAACGACACGCGATCGCTGTGTGAAAAACACCGTGGCATCAGCTGTGGCATCAAATGTTCTCTCTGATCTTATCCTTCGAAGGTTGACTGAACACAAGGAGAGACAGATCCGCGAAAATCGAGCTGGGTTCCGCCCAAAAAGAGAGTGCATCGACCACACTTTCACCCTTTGACAGATTCCAGCAACCAAGAATGGTTGGGTTCCTCGATCTGAAAGCTGCCTTTGACTTTGTGGATCGTCAAAGCAAAGATGTCCTCCCTAAATCCTTGACCCTCCTTAAGGTCAACTCCAGCGGACTTGTGAAGGAAGCTTCTGAGTTCACTACATCAAGTGGTGCCACACAAGGTTGTCCTCTTTTACTTTTAATCTGTTATTCATGCGGCCATGCAAGGCTCACTATCATCCTCTAATGCCTGTGGGGTTGAAGTGCGCAGACGACATATCTCTTCTTGGGTCTAAGCATGTGGTAATGTAGGCAATATCAAATAATCTAAATAATTCTGCAGCATGGTTTGGCATGCGCTCCACGGCTGGAAACTTAACCTCACGCTTGTGCATTAGCCGCTTGAGGTAGTGGACAAGTTTGAATACCCGGGCAGTTGTATCGATCCTGGTGGTCTCGCGAAAGATGATATTTCCATCGGGATTGGGAGGGCCAGGGGAGCTTCCGTGAACCTGCATCATCTGTTTGTAGGCGACATTAGCTTATCAGTCACGGGTCGAGGCTACAGTTTTCCGGTATGGTCCATATTTTTATACGGGTCAGAAACCTGGCCACTGCGTGCCGAGGATGTCAAAGGACTTTCAGTGTTCAGCCGCCTATGTCTTCAGAGCATTGCCCAACTCTGGTGGGAACGCCGGATCAGTAACGCTGAAGTACATCGAACGGTCTTCGGAATAAATAACTCGCTTGCTATCACGCTCCATAGGTTTCGCTGGCATGGCCACGTGCTCCGTGTGTCAGTCGACCGACTTCCTCGAAGGGTTATTTTCGCACAACCACGCGAAGAGTGGAAACAAACCAGGGGAGGTTAATTAATGACTTGACAGCGAAGCATGAAAGGAAATTCAGCTGCGCTGGTGATTACCGTCTCACTGGATTGGGACCCTGAAACGGGACACATCAATGTTAAGAGAAATTGTCAGGCATGACCCAGTCGCGCCCTCAGTGGCGCTCGTTCATCCAAGCTGTTGCCTTCACTGCATAACTCCCTTCCCAATCTCCCCAATCAAAAGTCCAATGGCAAATCTGCTTATCAGCTACTGCTTCCAATGTGCAGCTGCCTACCTCACCTCCCCAAATCATTAGTGAACGAAACTGTGACAGTTATGACCACTGTACAACAAATACACGGTCCTTACAGCTGATAATGATGATGAGCTGTTGAACGCCCTGGTATTTTCTCCCCATTCTGTCTGCAGTCAGCTAAAAGAAGGGGTGACAGAAACTGTAGTTATTTGGCATGCAGGTACTGGCGAATAAATTTCCAAGATGACTGGTACACCGTTCTATGTCTACCTTTTGTTATTTCAGTCTTTAGCTTGACAAACATTCTGTGCATTGAATTTTTCTGCACGTAACCCATCTCAATGCTAGCCCTCCGCGCAACACGTATTTTGCTATCTGCAAGTTCTGGAGCTGGTCCGGCGCTTCGTACCGGACCTTCTATTGCCAATGGTTATGTTTTGCGTAACATAGCCTCCAAACCGAAGTTTGTAAGCGCCTGTCTTTGTGCGGCGACATCCCTTAGGACTACCGATGGATACAGTGGGGTTCATTCGTGACCCTTGCAGGTTTTCTTGCCGGTGGAACTATGTATATGTCCCAAGACCTTGAAAAAGGTGAGGTTTTGCTTTTTTCTCTACATACCACTGATGCCAACATCTAGGGGCGAATGCCACTCAAATGCATTGTGTCAACTGTTCCCATTGAGCTTCCGATATATGTATATATATATAT